GAACCCTACGACCCCTTTGTGCAACCAACCATGAGGAGCGTTGATTACACACCTAGATTTGGTTAAATTTATCACATACACCCAACAATTGGGGAGATAAATGTTTCTATGTACCCACTAGACTCCTGGTCTCAGTGTGTTCCTTCACTCAGACTGCCTCAGTTTTACTCTCAGAACATCCATGGACTGGAAGAGAGCGACCGTCAACAGGTGAACCCTATCCAGCTGAGGGAGGGGTTCTATTTTCAAGTTAGATGGAGTTGGTACTAACTGACCGAAGATATGTGGTGTTATATGAACCAAGGTGGGGAGATTTGATGACCCAGAACGATCATCAACCAAGGGCGGACGCTTGACTCACGTAGTTAGTTGTCAGGGACACTCGTTCACTTCTGGCGTACCAACTAAACGACCGCTAACCTGTCAGGACGCTTGGACCACTAACCCTCAGAATACGTGGTTTCTCAGAATCCCTGCAAGAGACTCTCTGTAAGCTATTGTTAGCTTCTTCTCCGCCCTATCTAAACCCTGTCTGAGATCGAATGAAGCTTACTTGCAACACTGATATACGTGCACGCAAAGAGACCAGGCCACGTGATCAATTTCCGTGGCTGAGACCTGCAGGCAGACGTCTGTATGGCCCAGGCGTCGGCGCCTAACTGACGGCAAGCGTCTCTCAAGACGCTACCCTGGCCTAGTGATGTCATCACTCACAAACTAAATAGCTTCTTTGGGACACACGTAACATTTTTTGACTGAAAAACGATCTACAATATATTTAAATTTAATAATAGTCCCATAACTTCATGAATTGCGTCCATATTAATTCGGTAGAGTACATTTAATATTACATAGGCCTAATTCAAAATGCTCCCACTACATTAGGGTGGCGTTCCCAGCGCTTATTTCTTGCCACGAGGCTTGGGTGTTTCAGCTAGGCCCACTGATGGTTTTCCATTTCCGACAGATCGACAATTTTCCTTCTAACTTATCTAAACATCACACTGAATTTTCTGAATATTATATACATACAGTATATATATATATACACACACACACACACACACACACACACACACACACACACACGTGATCGTGGGCCCTTCTTGCCCGGTGGCGAGTCCGGTGGTACAGCTTACCAAGTCGTGAAAGTTCGAACGCTCGTGCTTGGCTAGCGCGCAACCGCCATCCGGCTGACAGCGTACAGCGACATCGTTTTCCAGATGGTCGTGGTCGTTATAATCATGGTCGTGGTTGTTATAATCATGGTCGTGGTTGTTATAATCATGGTCGTGATTGTTATAATCATAGTCGTGGTTGTTATAATCATGGTCTTGGTTGTTATAATCATGGTTGTGGTTGTTATAATTATGGTCGTGGGTGTTATAATCATGGTCGTGGGTGTTATAATCATAGTCGTGGTTGCTAAAATCATGATCGTGGTTGTTATAATCATGGTTGTGGTTGTTAAAATTATGGTCGTGGTTGTTATAATCATGGTTGTGGTTGTTATAATCATGGTCGTGGTTATAATCATGCTCGTGGTTGTTATAATCATAGTTGTAGGTATTATAATCATGGTCGTGGGTGATATAATCATAGTCATGGTTGTAATAATCATGGTCGTGGTTGTTATAATCATGGTCGTGGTTGTTATAATCATGGTCGTGTTTATGATCATAGTCGTGGTTGTTATAATCATGGTCGTTGTTGTTATAATCATGGTCGTGGATGATATAATCATAGTCGTGGTTCTTATAATCATAGTCGAGCTTGTCATAATCATGGTCGTGGTTGTTATAATCATGGTCGTGGATGATATATTCATAGTCGTGGTTCTTATAATCATGGTCGAGCTTGTCATAATCATGGTCGTGGTTGTTATAATCATGGTCGTGGTTGTTATAATCATAGTCGTGGTTGTTATAATCATGGTTGTGGGTGATATAATCATGGTCGCGGTTGTTACAATTATGGTCGTGATTGTTACAATAAGGGTCGTTGTTGTTATAATCATGGTCGTGTTTATGATCATAGTCGTGGTTGTTATAATCATGGTCGTGGTTGTTATAATCATGGTCATGGTTGTTATAG